TCCGGAGAACACAGACACCAAATTGTTTAAACAAACTACAAGTAATCACTGCAGACCTGACAGTAATACTAAAGAAAAATTAATAATATCATTATGCTATCAAAATCTTATCTTTCCTAAAACTGTAAGTGCAAATCTGAAGTTGCAGTTCAAACATGTAGAAAGGTTGAAATGAGTAAAATAATTCAGGTGTATAACACTATTAATGTTCTGTGTTAGCCACACAGTACTCAAATACAGATTGGAATTTTAACCAGGGGAAATTTCTTTTTGGTGAAAGAAAGATAAATTCAATGGGGTTGTGTCTCTGAAGGAGCAGAAAGAATCCTCCAACAAACATTCTGTCATTGCCAAATTGTGCCTTAGGCACTGCACTCAATTAGATCAGTTTTGGCAAGCAGATTTGCAAAGCAAACACCTGTACAATCACAAACAAAATCTATTCACACTCTGAAGGTATGCAGCCTTCAATCAACATCTCATAGTATATTACAGAACATATTCTTCTTGGAGCAACAGGCATAGAAGACCTGCCCAAAGTCCCCCACCTCTACATCAATGCTTTAGTTTTTAAGGAGAATCCATATTTCCCAAATCTGATACTCATTCTCGGGACTCTACAGGACAACTGTCACCTATTCTATCATGTTAATTTGACATATCCTATAGTAGAATTAGATATATATGTGAAAAATCCAGCTTGCAAAGATTACAAACGTAACAAGCTGCCAGTAAACAGTTCCTATATCTACATATGACGGTGCAAGTTAGCAGTGTCATAAAGGCACTTGTCTCTCACAGGCAGTACTGTATTCTCTAATCAGTCAAAAATAGATCTTAAAAATATTTAACATCTGAAATGGTTTTTACTCCTTAAAGTGGTGCAAATCATCATCTATAGAACAGTAATTCCTTAGTTCATCATGAAAGAGCTGAGTGCAAATTATCCATAATTGAATATATCTTTATAATTAATTCGTTTTAATGCCATGCTCTCATAAAATGCCAAAAAACATGCCATAGTAGAAATGTGATTGGCACTAGCAGCCACAAACAAAAAGGTAGGTGCATACAATTGTACAAGCAAGCTTATTTATGAAGATAATAAAACAATTAAGTGATGAGTTGCAAGGAGAGACATTTGCCACAAGTCTTTTCCGAGACATTCTTGAAGCCACACCTGACCATGTATCACACATTTACATCATTAGGACATCTTTATAGCTAGCTACCTAATTTTACAAAAATAATTCCAAAATGCGCATTTCACTTCAAAGTGAATTCTGTTTGTTTTCACCAAATGTGAAAACCAGATGCAACAGCAGAGTTTTAAAAGACACCTAAGCAGCCACTAAATAAAGTTCAGTGCAGTTTTCAAGGGTTTATGGATGGCAGTTTGAAATCCTCGAAATCCCCTTTATCTGTTTGGTATAAACGCACAGATTTTCCTCTCCAAGTCTCAGTACCTTAAAGCAATGACTTGAAAGAGTTTCCACCAACAAAAGACATGTTTTTGCAAATCAAAGGGCTCAGGTATTATAAAAAATTGACATAATTGGCTTTGCCTATGTAAATGCTCATTTGCAGTTGGCATTACAGCTCCATTAACTGAGAAATCTAGACGGTGTGATGGATGGAATAAATCAAGTACAATCCAGAAGCCAGCAGGCTTTTTGCCCTTAATACTTTCTGTTGTAACAGCACATTAAGAGTATATCCAGACTGCTGTGAAGTTGCTGGATGAAGCCTCATGCTTGAATACTAATTTTCACGTCCAGTCTCTTTAAATAATTTTGCCAGTATTATACCATAAAGAAGTTTCTGTGTCTTTGAAAAATCTGCATTCACTGAACATTGCACAAGGCTATTGAAACAAAAACAGGAGAGAAAAAAAGAAAGAAAGAAAAAAAGCCATTTGTTCAAGTATTAAGCTATTCCTTCAGAGAATTGCACTTCTTTGCTTATAGCAGTGACCAGAATTGCTGATGGTGTACTGACAGTTGCCATGGCAAGTGGGTGACTGCGTGGGATAGCAGACATATAGCCAAGTCAACTGCTTATGCAATCTCCGTGATTTCAGCAAGCACAGAACACACCACTTTATTATGTGCTGCCAATGATCTGCATAAAGTGCCAGAGGAAAAAGTGTTCTTCTGTGTCAGGCCGTGGCTGTTTCAGTATTCCCATTCATCTGTTTTCATGTCCAGGTAGTAAAGAATATTCTGTGCAAGCTTTACTGCCTGCTTCCTGGCAGCCTTACACCGCTCGTCACCTTGTGGATCAACAGCATCCAGGGCCAGAAGCTGTTTTGTAAGAAGTTCTTCCAATCTCATGTAGTTTTTATCCGTTCTGTTTCCATCAAATGAAATCACCTCTTGCTGAATTTGAGACAAGTTTCCAAGAACAGTCCAAACTGCTTTATGAGACTGATGTTCGGCAGCAGTTTGCTCTGGATACATTTGCCTTTTCTCCAGTGCTTCCTTCAAATCAATATATGTTATAAGAGTTTGAACTTCAATTACTGCTCTTCTCCTGGCCTCTCTAATACAGGGATTTTTTCCAGCACTCACCTCATCTAGGTGGGCAATCAATCCCTGCAATTCTGCTTTGGATCCCAAATACAAATCAGAAGCATTCTCTGTTTTTAAAAGTAAAGAATTAACTTCCTTCATCTTCTTGCGGATCTCTTCTATTTTTAGAATGGACTGATTTTGTGCCAAATCATAAGCGTGAGTAGAATTTGCTTCCTCTTCCAAGTCCAGGTATTTCTGCAATTTATTGATCTCTTCTACTACTTCCTTTCTGTAATTTCTGATTTCTGTGCGACCACAGACATCCAAAGCATCCAAATCAGCAATAAGGCCTGTAAGCACACAGGACAGGTGCCTGCAGGTGTCATTCCTGCTCACTCCCATCAGAAGAGCAATAAGAGTTCCTCTTGCTTTGTTCACATCACACATTACAGAGTTAATTTTGGCGACAGAAGGATGTGCATCATTAGAGAGTGGCAGGGACAGCTGTTGCTTCATACCATTTTCTATAATCTCCTGAACAGCACATACTTTTGTCAGAGTGCGATACCTTGCTTTGCGTAAAGAAACTTTCCCTCCAGTTTTCACCTGGGTAAGCCTCAACACAATGTCCTGGATTCCTTCTTCAAATTCGTCACTAATACAGTTTCCTCCTTTGTAAAAAGGCGTGATCTCGCGTTCCACAAGAGACTGTGCCTCCTTGAATATGGACTCTATTTCCAGTCTGCGCGGATGGTTTGCATTTTGTTCCAGTTCCTTCAGCAGCCTCTCTGTTTCCTGGGCAGCTCGCTTTCTGGCTTGCTGGATATCACCCTTCCCTTCCGTGTCTACAGAATCTATTTCAAAGAGCTGTTTAGTAAGGCTCCTTTCCAATTTCTTGTAGTCTCGGTCGGTAGACAGACCACTGAAGACAGCCACTTGCTGTTCAATCTCTTTGACTTCTTTCTGTATTTCATGCAACCGTTTTATGGATGGGTGTTGGTTACCCATATCCATTCCTCTTCTCTCGTCCAGTTTCAGATGAACTGTAAGGCAAAGGAGAACAAGACTTGCTTAAGTGCTACGCAAGCACAGGTCGCAACTTTCACTTCCTGAAGCACTTCAGCACTGAAGCTATTTTAAAAATCTCTAGCAATAGGCATAAACCACTTGGCTGATACTTCACCGCCCTTTCTCTAATTTTTTTACACCTATCTCCCAGTCGGGCCGCAGGGGTGATGCTTGAGTTGCACTCAAGCACTCGGCACTCACCCACAGCCTTCAGCCCTCCCTTCCCCACCTGCTCTGCAGCTGAAGCCACAGCAGAACAAACAGGACACCCGCAGCCCAAGGGAGAACCCGGAGGGGAAGGGGAGAACAGCGGCTGAGCGGAAAACAGCGGTTGTGCCACAACCCCGGGGCAGCGCCGCCTTCCCCGCACTCACCTCGCTCCCCTTCAGCACCCGCCGCCCGCGGCCCCTCCACGGCCGCCACCTCCCGCCTCCCCCGCGGCGGGGCCCGGCGGGGCGGGCAAATGACAACGGGCTGCCGCGGGGGCACCTGCGGGAGGCTCGTCCCCGGCGCCCCCGCCCCGCCGCCTCAACTCACCCTTCGGCCGCCCGGCCCAGGACCCGCTGCCCGGCCCGGCTCTGCGCCACGGGCCGAGCGCCGCGAACCGCCCGAGCCCCGCCCGGCCCGGCCGCGCGGAGGGAGGCGGAGGCGGGGGCGGGACCAGCCCCATCCCGGCCCCGCCCCGCCCGCAGCGCCCGTGCGGCACCGCCGTAAAGCGCCGGGACATGGCGGCCGTGCCGCTGCTGCGGGCGGGCGGCTGCTGCCGCCGCCACCGCCGCCTCCTCATCGCCTCCTCCTCCTCCTCCAGCTCCTTCTCCTGCTCCGCCGGCGGCGGCCGCGCGGCTGAGCGCGGGGAGCGGCCGGACGGCGCGGTAAACCCGGACGGGGGGGCGGCAGCTCCTGCGGGGGCCGCGGGGGAAGGCTCGGGGGCCGACGCCCCCGCGGAGCCCCGGGCGGGGAGCGCTGGTGGGGCGGGGGCGTCCTGCGTTCCTCACAGAAAGCCGCGTTCCCCGCGGCCTCTCGCCGCGGGTGTGTTTGCCGAGGCCCCCGGGGTTTGTTGTGGCCCGGCGGGGCCGTGAGTGACGGGGCGGTTGGGTAACAGCTCTGCCCGAACCCGTCCGGGGCAGGTACACGCTGTGTGTGCTCACATGGATGCTGGAACAGCGCCGGGCTTTGGTAAACTAAGAATCATAGAACGACCTGAGTTGGAACGAACCCATAAGGATCATGTAGGTCTGACTCGCGGCCCTTCACAGGACAGCTCCAAGAATCACACCATGTGCCTAAGAGAGTTGTTCGAAAGCTCCTTGAGCTCTGTCAGCCTTGGGGCTGTGACCACTTCCCTGGGGAGTCTGTTCCAGTGCCCAGCTACCCTCTGGTTGAAGAGTCTTTTCCTAATATCCAGCCTAAACCTCCCCTGGCACCACGTCATGCCATTCCCTCAAGTGCTGTCACTGGTCACCAGAACTCAGAGATCAGTGCCATAAAAAGCTTGCATGCATGCTAGTTCTTGCCATCACGTATGTTAACGAAGTGGAGTGTTAGTGATAGAAAAACGAAAACAAAAAAAAGGTGCTTTTAAAAAAACATGCTGTGATTCATGTCTGTGGTAACGGAGTCAAAAGTATCTTCTCTGTAGTGCATTTTTGAGTAAAGGTAAATTGTAAATGTATCTCATTGTTCTTGGTTACAGTAAACGAACGTGCATAATTTCGGAACTTATTATACTTGTATGTTTAAAGGTTGCGTGGAGTTTTGGGATTTATTTCAAATCAAGATACGAGCCGAAGTGCTCATAACAGAATTCCGTCTGTATTTCCCAGGGCCTGGGTTTCAGCCCCCCCGCGCACTCCCACAACGACTGGATCGGGCCCCCGGACAAGCATTCCAACCTGCGCCCCGTCATCTTCTACATGCCCCCCGAGGAGTCGCCCCTGGAGCGGCGGCTGCGGGAGGCACGGCAGGAGGCCCAGGCCTGCAACCAGCACTTCTGGGCACGGCACAACTGTGCCTTCCGACAGGTGAGCCCGACACAACACCCGCTGCCGCTCAGCGCCCGCCTGCACACCCGAAACTGGGAGGTGTGGGCTCCCTGAGGTTCTGCCTGCCCTTGGTGGCTGGTAACTGATACAGTTTCTTTTAAAACAGTGTCTTTGCAGAAATTACAATTTTTTTTGTCATTCATTTCTTTAAAAAAAATCCCAGAATGTTTGCCTTTTATCCTGTCTTGTGCTGAAAGTATAAAGTTGTAGCTGCCTGACATGCAAGACCTGGCTGTGACTAGAGCAGCTGTTGAAAATGATTCTGTAGCTTGTCTTCTTCTGTCCTAAGTGAGAGAAATTAGGTGTAATCACCACAGTTAAAAGAGGGACATGCACCCTTTCACCCCAACAGTGCTAAAGTGAGGACTTTTCAATCGTGCCCTGTCTTCTTTCCTGATTTCAGCGTCTCCTAACCAATGCTCTGGGGTTTTTTTGAAGCACAGTAACAGTTCAGTAATTCACCATCATTTGTGATGAACTTTGAACATCATATCCTCCCAAAACTTGCCAAGATCCCAGACAAAAATCTTGGTTTTTTTTTTTTTTTTTTAATTCCACAGAAATGCTTTTTAAGTTCGAAAAACACACAAATATTGTGCTGCCATCTAAGTAATGTTAATTTTTTTAGTGGTATGTTTTTCTCTGTGCTCAAAAACTCAGTTACACAGTACAGCACATCTCCACAGTTTGTCTTATAAATTGAAAGTTTGAATCCTGTCAAACAGTCCTGAAGCTCAGCTGTAGCTTTACTCCACAAGTAAGTTTTACAAGTATCAGTAGACCGCTTGCATGAATTAATTGAGGCTTGCAGAGAGCAGGATCTAAGTAACAAAGTTACGGGTTTAACTAACTCACTGGATTGAGGAAAATGTTTAGTTGACACTTCCACGTATAATGAGTTGTTGCTAGTTATTTCAGAGGGTGTTAAACACCACATTGCTATGTAATTAAAAACAATGGTTAACTTCAAGGACTGACTACATCAGATTCTAATGTGGAAAAACATGTTTTAGGAAAAAGAAGAATTTATTTATTCAAGACTGAAAGCCAAGGGTCTGGAAATGAGAGATGAAACAGGTTAGTGAGATCTTTGTTTAAGGTTTAGGATGCATTCTGAATTCCACTTAACTTTGAATTTTGTTAGTTTATGCTCTTTGTCTCCTGTCAAAACTAAATCTTACAGGTAGGATTTAGAAGTGTTTTCAGGAGCATGATAAAAAAAGAAGAGAGGAGCTCTTCAGAGATGTGCATGTGGGGGTCAGATCATCTGTTGCATTCTTCTTCCCCTAATTCCTTCCCTGCAGCGGGAGGGGATGTGCTGAAATCTTAGCTCAGTAATAGAATAGTTTTATAGTCTAGGGAGGAAGGGGCTTTTTACTTTTGCACCTCCTAACCCAGTGAGCTGGCTGAGGCAAACATATAGAGTGTTTGCCTCAAGTGCATGTTACAATTGGGTGGATAAATTCACAATCTTTGCCTTCAGGTCCGTAGTGTAAACAATGAACACAATATTTTTCCTTCAGGGGAAATAAGACAGCTTCTGGGGAGATGGCAGCTGCTATCTGCCTGTCTTTGCCTGAGCACAGTTGCTGTAAAATAGTTGTCTCTCTAATTCATTATGTGAAGCTGAAAACAAAATGCCTTCATAATAACAGTGAATTGGCCATTGTAGTATGAGGTTGAACATTTTGTTCATAGAATAATGATCTGTTTGAGTTTAGTAAAGCAACTGCTCTGACGTTCTGTGTATCACAGACCATTTTTTTTTTTTTGTTTGTATCCTGGTGATCAGTGTATGGTTGAGAAGTAATTTTAATTAAGTTCTGTGTTGTTTTGAAAACACTTCTTTTATGTTGCTATTTTATGTTTGGTTTGTTTTTATACCCTAGAGATAAAAAAGAGTGAGCATGTACCTTTTTTAAAAATATAATTATATTGACTGCTTGCATCTATTACACAGCTGTGAGTGTATTTAAAAATAGGGAATAACCATATACATGAACAGTTGGAACAAAATTTACTGTTCTACATAATTAATCAATTCTGCTGATACCAATATTCAGTAACAAATTATAGGTTTTACTAAGGCAGCCTTCAAATAGTTTTAAAGCAAATTTATCCCATAGTATGTTAATCCATTGTAACATATTAGTTTTGTAAATAATGACAAATAGAACCAATCAATAATTTACACTTCTGTGATCAGTCTCAGGAGCCTTAAAATGCATTTTGAAACTGTAACAAGTCAAATATCACAATTCCGTCTCCCTCACCATATTCATGTTCTCTGGGACATCCACATTTGACTCTCATTGTAGGGACATTTTGTTCCAGAACGTTTGTATGGGAATTGTCTGGTAGAGTTGAGAATATTTGTTGGTTCTCAGGATTACACATCTGTGCTGTATCCACAGGTCTTCCTCTCCCTCCTTTTATGTTCTGCTGATGAATGGCACATTCAAAATCATCTTTTGTATTTGCTTCTTCACAAATCACTAGATTGTTTGTAAGTCTGACATCTCAGAGCATACACTTTTTGGTATAAGTTACTTGAAATTTATCAACAGTAACAGAAAAAAAACATACATCTGAAAATACCATATCAGTTATGGATAGTGTTTTTTCAATATTTGCTTTAAGGGGGGAAATTTAAATAAGTAATTGCTCTTACTGGTATTGTTTAGACTTACAGCCCTGTGAGAAATTAGTTTTATTCAAAGGATAAATGGGCTTTTTCATAGGGGTTCACTAGTTCCCTAAATCATCTAAGGGCTGATAATCACTTCCATAAATAATAGGGGCTTAGGAACTATGTCAACTTCAAAAATATCAGTATTTTTAATCTGCTGTGTTCCCTAGCTAAGTTTTGAAAAGTTGGAAGATAAAATTCAGAGTTACACAGGAAGCTTGTAGGAGCATCTGAACCCAGGGTTTTAATCCAAAGAATTACCTTGACTTTGTTAAACAAACACTTATTTTTAGGTCAAAAAGCAACACTGAATGCAGAAGAAATGGCTGACTTTTACAAGGACTTTCTAAGTAAAAATTTTAGAAAACATATGCAGTATAACAGGTATGTAGAAGGTATTTATGTTGACCATTATACATTACAGACTAAGAGAAAGATAAGGTCAAGTTTAAAATTTGAACATTTTTCCCCATAATTGGTGAAACAGCACCTAAAACTATAATTTTAGAAATTTTTTACGCTATTATGAGTATTTGACAGAAATCTGCATTATCGTTTGAGTTCTGCTGCTGCTTATTGTTTATTTAGTGGAAAGATGAAGCTTGTGTCTGAGATTTAAAGAGACAAGATCAGGCACTCAATTTTTTTTATCTTAGGGCATGGGTCTTTCCATGCTGCTAATTGAAACTGATAAATATGCAAATAAACTGGTTGAAATTTCTGTATAACAGATTCTAGTTGACTGTTAAATGAGGACTAATAAATGTGATTTATTTTGAAAGAAAATTGTTTCGTTGAAGTAATATTTAATATTCTTGGTTCTATCATTTTGCAAGCATATAGTAAAAATGAAAGTGATTAGCCTTGAGTTTGAGGGTTTTTTGTGTGGCAAGGCATTAGTAAATTGATTGCCTGAACTCATCCTGTGTAGAACCTCAGCTATACCTTAGTAAACCCACATCCACCTTTTCACAAGATCTGTGTTTTATTGTTTCAACGTTACTGTTTGTACAATAACTTGATAAACTGGGTTGGGGATCTGAAAGGACTGAAAAATTACTTGTGAACACACATAACCCTGCAAGTAGCTGTGAACACTTGACAAAGGGCTAGAAATGAGGAAGGACAGCACTCAATCCAGTCACAGTAGTACTGCCCACTGAATATGAAACCACAACTTCAGTTTCCTCTCTGTATTGAATTGAAAGGTTATTGGGCTCAAAAGTATCAAGTGTTACTGGGTTCCTAATGGTGCAATGCTAGTGAGAGTTCTGCTGTCACTGTAACTGATCTCTAACAAATTGTGGTTTAAGGTTCTTCCTATGTATATCATGCATAAACCATAAAATACTACCCTATAAGAACAATTTAACTGTAAAAAATATTTAAAACAAATACAGACATCTTGTCTTGCCCATGGGGGACAGGGCGGCAACCTCACTATAAACTGAAGCGACAGATGGAAAGTAAGAAATTGCTTTTAGTGGAAGGATTGTTGTTCAAATTGCCTATAACTGATAAATGGGAATGCAAGTAGTTTATCTTGGTACTGGTCACCATTTGCCATTGTTGGAGTGACCTTTTGATAGTGTCCCATCCTCATGGTGAGAGAATTCAGGCTTTGTGCTTAAATGTGATTTTCCTTGTTGCTGCCTTGTAAAATCAGGCAGTGTCAGCTGCATCACTGTAGTTTCAAAGTGGAACTGCACAACCCTGAAAGCAGCAGAGCTTTTTACTGGCACTCTAATTTTGAGGGGTCATGTTATAAAAATCTGTTTATGCATTTAGCTGTATGTTCTTTTGCAGTATTGCCAGCTGGCCTGAAAAATGTGGCAGCTAAAGTGTTGCAATTTCTAAAATTTAGATAAAGTGGAAGCAATAACTGTGCATAGATGCCTTGAATATTTAGTTCAGGGTACCTAGACTGGAAATACAGTCTAGTTTAGGAAAAAATTCAAGAAGGATATAGGAAATTAAGCATGAAAGGGGAAAAGAAACAGTTGCAATGTTAGCATGATATTTTGATTTAACATGACATCTGAAGGGGTAGCTCAGTGTTGCTTGTCAGTGTGAATTTGGCTACTGTCCTTACTGAGAGGTTAGTGTCTCAGGCTTATGTTAGATCTGTACATGCAAGATTTCCCACAAAAATCTCAAGAGAAGACCTAAATCCTAGTGTTTAATATTCCTTGCTAGTTCTATGATTCTATGTATTCTATTGCTGCTTGTGCAGCACTTTACAAAATGGGGGCAGGGTTCTTGTTAGAAATTAGAAAGAAATTTTGATATTATTTTATTTTGTAATAAGGGCAAGAATTTGAAGCAAGTTCTCAGAGGTTAAAAAGGGCTGATACAGACTATTCTGTGTATAACTTGAACTGGTTCCAGAAGCCATGCACGCTTCATAAAAATTAAATTATTTAAAGATGTAAAGACTAACTCCAGCAATATTAAAGGCATCATCTTTAAAGGATACTGCAGTAGAAAGATAATGTTTCCTGTATTGGGTTATACAATAATCTTTGAAGTGTGATTTGATTTTATTTTTCCCTGCCCTCACAGGTGGCCAACTATGCCCTTTTCAACACATGTATCTTCATCCACTTACGAACAAATCTTAGCCATTGCACAGCACTGTCAGGAAGTTATTCTAGATAGTTTGGTGATCAGCTTTACTTTTGAGACATGAGATATGGTTTAACTACTTTATCTTACCTGATTTCAAATACAGTTAGAACCCTGTTGTCCATTCATGGATGTGGATATACACATAGACTTTTTCATAGGTTATTTAACTCCCATTAGGCAGAAAAAGTGTTGCCACAAAGAACACAAAATGCAGGTTATCACTGAATTGTCATTTGTCAATGCCAAAGGATATTTTAATATAATTGTGTACCCTTTTCCTGTTCTTGTTCTGTGTGCTGATTATTTTCTTGGCTTTGGAATCCTAGAGATTGGTATAAACGTAATTTTACGATCACATTCCTCATGGGACAAGTAGCACTGGCAAGAGCTCTGAGATGGCTTCGTTGGAAAAAGAAAAATGTAGAACATTAATCACAGCTCTGTGAAGAATGCAACACTAGCTAGGCCTGGTATAAACATGTTGTTTATAGTGATGTTCAGAATCTGAATGATGTAATAATTGCTTGAGTCTGTTTGTTAAACTATGTCAATAAAAGTCAATATTGGTCTTAATTTATAATCACTACATAGATTTCCTTTACCCTTTATTCCAAGAAAATATAAAATATTTCTCCATCAAAATAAAACTAAGAAAACTGTTAAAAACTCTTTCTCGTTTACATCAAATGGAATGGGTAATAATGACTGTCACATTTTTACCACAGAACCATGGCTGCTAAATAACATGTGATTCAGTCTGCTCTCCTGAACTCTGGTCACAGAATGATGTCTCCACCAACCATATTAGTATATAAAGACAAAAATGCCTTATTTTGCAGCAGTTGCCTGTCTGGGGCAGTAGCAATCCATATGTAATACAAAATCAATGAAGGAACAAGTATGATTTGTGAGCATATATGCAATCAACTTTGAATAATGCTCTCTTCAGTGTGATTATTTGATATTTTTAGTAAAGATTTAAGATAGGATTTCCTATAAATTACTAATGCAGTAGGATCTTCATAAATACATTTTTTTATTAAAAGGAATGTGTCTTCCTTGGAGAAGAGTTCCTCTAACCTATAATTGGTAAAGATTTTAGTTGCCAAGCAATAAAGCAGATGCATTGCAAGCCACTTAATCTTGGTAGAAGAGGAAACTGGTAACTGCTGTAAGGAGAACAACATTACTACAGGTAAGCACTACTTTCTCCTGGTTCATTTCTTTCAAAAAAAGATGCTGTTCTCAGCAGTTTCTCTGAGGCACTCAAAACTACTCACCTGAGGGTGATTTTTCTGGCCTCCAGGTATGTAACATCACTTGGAAGCATGTTGGTTCAAGTGAAGTCTTAAAGTGTTATGCCATGTATTCGTAATTTAAAAGTTTCATTCCTCAGAATGTTCCCTCTGCCCTTTTATACAGTTAAATGATTTTTTTTATCCACTGCCTACTAAGAGGATTCTGATAAAAACAATGTATGCTGTCAGATGAAGTGTATTTTCCTAAAACTTTGCTGTAGGGAAGGTTCTGCTTTTGGAAACATCATCTCAGTAGTCATTGACCTGTTTTTCATATCTAAACATGACGTGATTTATTCACAGACTTTTTTCAGCTGGAGCAAAAAGAGCTTTGTCTGTCGTATCAACTGTAATAATTCCTTTGCAAGATGAAATAAATATTAATGATGTAGTAGTGGATCTCACTGTTGCATACAATGATGATATTATTGGTGCTAAAGTGGTCACTGAATTGTGTAAGTGTTGTGTTCCACCTTTAGAAAAATAACTTTTCAAAATAGACTACTGTGAGTATGTAATGTAATTCTTTGGGGTTTTACAGTAAATCATATCTTACAGCATATAAACTTTGACCATAATGTGAATGCATACTTTAATAAATATTTCTGATGTAAAACAATGGATACTGTAAGAAAATACCCCAGAAAGGTGGTTAATGGCCATATGTTCTGACAGCCTGTGTATAAGATCCCTGAGGTAGTTTCACATGCTTTAAGTGGGTAGAGGTCAATCAAAAGCATTTTCATCTCCTGAGCTGCTCGCTTCCATTAACACAGACATTTTTGTGTCTGCCTGCTGAACCAGATCAGGAAATTGATTCCCTGCTAGAATTAATCCAAGGAAAAAACTGTTCGATGTCAGTTGAATTAATATGCCTCATCATGCAGATATGTGTTGTTTGGCATGGGGGAGCTGTGGGAATTCAGATGGAAGGTTTGGATTGTGCTTCCGTAAATCACAATTAAAACTGTTTTCTGAACATGTAATTTTAGTATTGATCACCTAAAACCAATATGAGCACACAATGGATCATGCTAGGATTCTGCTGTGAGATTCTTTATCTTTTAAATACCTCCAAGGACAGTGACTCAAGCACTGCCCTGAGCAGCCTGTTCCACTGCCTGACAACCCTTTTGGTGAAGAAATTTTTCCTACTACCTGACCTAAACTTCCCCTGGCACAATTTGAAGCTGTTTCCTCTCATTCTATCACTTGTTATTTGGCAGAAGAGACCAACTCTCACTTCCCTACAACCTCCTTTCAGGCAGCTGTAGGGAGCCATAAGGTCCCCCTTAACCTCCTTTTCTCCAGACTAAACAACTCCAGTTCCCTCAGCCGCTTCTTACAGGACCTGTGCTGATTCTTCACCAGCTCCACTGCCCTTCTCTGGACTCACTCCAGCACCTCAATATCCTTGTCATGAGGGGCCCAAAACTGGATGCAGCACTCAAGGTGTCTTGTCTCAACAGTGCTGAGTACAGGGGGACAATCACTGCCCTGATCCTACTGGCCACGCTATTTCTGATCCAAGCTAGGATGTCATTGGCCTTCTTGGCCACCTGGGCACACTCTTGACTTATGTTTGGCTGCTGTTGACCAGCACCCCCAGGTCCTTTTCTGCTGGGCAGCTTTCCAGCCACTCTGCCCCCAGCCTGGAGTGCTGTGTAGTTGTTGGGATCCAAGGGCAGGACTTGGCACTTCACCTTGTTGAACCTCAGACAACTGGCCTTGGCCCATCGATCCAAGCTGTCCAGATCCCTCTGCAGAGCCTTCCTGCAGTCCAGCAGATCAACACTCCTGGTCAGTTTGGTGTCATCAGCAAACTGAGTGTGCCCTCGATCCCCTCATCAGATCGATGATAAAGTTATGAAACAAGACTGATCCCAAGACTGAGCTCTGGGGAACACCATTAGTGAACAGCTGATAACCAGATGTGGCACCATTTGTCACCACTCCCTGGGCCTGGCCAAACAGCCAGTTTATTACCTGGTGAACAATGCACCCATCTGAGCCATGAGCAGCCAGTTTCTCCAGGAGAATGCTCTGGGAAACAGAGTGAAAGGCTTTACTGAAGTTAAGGTAGACAACACCCACATTTCCCTCGTTCTCTGTGGGTCATCTTGTCACAGAAGGAAATCAGGTCAGTCAAGCAGGACCTGCCTTTCATAAACCCAGTGCTGGCTGGGTCTGATGCCCTGATTGTCCTGCCCATGCCACATGATGGCACCCAAGATGATCTGCTCCATCACTTTCCCCAGCACTGAGGTCAGGCTGACAGGCTTGTAGTTTTCCTGGATCCTCCTGGCCCTGTAGATGAGTGTCACATTTGACAACCTCCAGTCAACTGAGACCTCCCCATTTAGCCAGGACTGCTGATAAATGATGGAAAGTGGCTCAGTGAGCACTTCCACCAGCTCCCTGAGTACCCTGGGGTGGAGCCTCTCTGGCCCCATAGACCAGTGTGTGTCTTAAGTGGTGTAACAGGTCACTGACCATTCCCGCTTGGATTATGGGGGCTTCATTCTGCTCCCCATTCCTGTCTTCCAGATTAGAGGGCTGGGTACCTGGAGAACAACTGGTCTTGCCATTAAAGACTGAGGCAAAGAAGGCCTTAAGTACCTCTGCCTTTTCCTCATCCCTTGTTACTATGTTTTCCTCCCATCCAATAAGGGATGGAGGTTTCCCTACATAATCTCATGTCATCCCTGTAGTCCTCCTTAATTGCCTGCCCCTACTTCCAAATGTTATAAACTCTCCTTTTTTCCCTGAGTTCCTTCCACGTCTCTCAAGTTCAACAAGGCCAGTCATCTTGTCTTTCAGCACGTGGGGACGGCCCATTCTCAAGCACTTCCATGGTTTCTAACACATCAATATCCCTCGTGGCTTTGCTGCCACATGGATCTCTGTCCCCTATCTCTCCTGAGACAACAGACCGAAGGACCTCCCCAGCACACTGTCCCTCAAACACAGGCATGTTGACCCCAGGCTTATCTCTAGCAGGCCTGGTTTTATCCATTTTCCCCTTCAAATTCATTAGGATTCTGTGTGGAGTGCCGAGTCCCTTCATCTAAAACCTATGGAAGGACTGAGGTATTTATCTATTAGGTAAGTGTTGAGCTCTGATTTAGAGTATCTAATAAAGCCACTGTGAAAAGATATTAAAAATAATCCATCTGAAATATTGAGTCTCATTACCAAAACCCACATACATTTACTGAGATGATTACATTTTCTGAACAGACAAAAGCCTTATCCTTTTCACCAGTGTTGCATTGCTTTTGGTTTGTTTTTTTCTTGACTCAGAGCAATTGTAATAATGCCAGCAGCTTCCAGATATTATTGATCATAAAACCTTTATACATGAAAGGAAAACTAAGGAGCTGCCAAAGACTACTAAAAATAAATTTTTTATATATATGAAGGCCTGCTACAGTAGCTGAAGCTAGTGAAATAGATCAAAGAGTGACTTTTCTGTGCACATTTTTTGAGCATAGGAAAAATACAGGGGAGTGTTCTTATCATTTAGGTATTTAGCTAATCCTGTCAGAAGGAACAGCAGTATTTAATATTTAGTAGTGTCAGTATGTGCCTTTTAATCTGTCTCATGCACTCAGTAAGTGCATAATAAAGCAACAGTATTTTGGTAATATTTGAATAGTTTTAGTTAGCTTGAATTGACTTGGGGTGGTTGTGTTCTGATAATCTATGTAGGGGTTTGCTATTCACTGAATTTCTCTACTGGAGCATTAATTCTGATAGAATATGAGAGGAGTAAGAGGAAGTGTCAAATGGGGATTGAGTGGCAAACTGACTAAAGGTTGGGTTGAATTGACTATAGCACCTTTAAATATGATTGATAACAAACTGTACATCTTAAAAAAATTAAATGCATTTCTTAATTTCATTGTGGGTTTTAAAAGTAGTGGTAGCAACTACTAAGAAGACAGCTTCTATGTTTAACTGAACATTCCTAGGGATAATATTAAAATCTAGTTCAAACCTCAGATTTGTTATTTAGGAGCTGACCCTTCCTGGCCCCATTTTAAGCAGACTGTCCTGTTGGCAATTTTTAGCTTCTACTGTCACTAAGCAAGATTGGTACCCTACAGGGTAATCAGATTTAGCCAAACAAGAACTTAATTTGCATCCTGTGCAGAGCCCATGGGCCAGTCTTTTGCATAAAAACTGGAAGGTTGAAATGGTTTCAGGAAAGGATAATATATGCTTGGAACTGTAATATGCATAATAACATTTTCATATTAAAAATTATATCCACTGATCATTG